CGGCCGCGGAAGACGCAACTTTCTACCGCCCTTAACGCGTCAGAAGCGAATACCGCATCTGTTCGCTTAAATGCGGCCGAGCGTGTCCCTCTGCTGCTTCCCGGCGTGCCGGTAACTGCTGAGAGCGAAGTGATAAATGCTCCCTTTTTTCTTTTTTTTTTCTTTCTTTTTTTTTTTTGTTGTCCTCTGCCCGCGGGCATAGAACGACCATCAACGCTCTTTTTTGTTTTTTTTATTCCTCATCTTTCTTTCACTTCATTAGCAGTGTAAAATGGCTTGTTACAATATATTAGCGTACGTAGAGGACGGTACGAAAAACCGTGTGTATGGGTGGAGAGGGTGCCTGTAATTTCGAGAGGAGTGCGAGGAGAACAGAAATTAGAGGAAGGGAGCAAATGTGCATACAATCCGATTTTAAACAGGCATTGATCTGTTCTTAGAATGGCAGAGGAAGGGAAGTAGACACGTGCTTTGAGTAACAATGTAAATAATCAGAAGTAGAAATAATGGGGATACTATTCAGTACTTACTGTCTTCTTCTTCCAGAATGATAAGGGAATAGTTTAAGAAAAAAAATGTTGTTCCATAACAGATACCACAGATGCTAATTTCTCTTGTTATATCGACTGCTGAAATGCTATAACTTATTCAGAAGTTGCTTTACTGTGGGCAGAAATTATGTTTTGCAGTACGCTGTACCAAAATATTGTGAACCCTGGAACAGGTTGTTCATGGCCAGATAGTATTTGCCAGACTTGATTAAGTTATCGGTCCATCAAGCTTCGTATTCTGCCGCCAGCAGCGCCCGCTTCCTGGTGCTGCAGTCAAGAGCTGTGTCAGACGGACTGAAGTAAATCATGAAGTTGAATGTGCCAGTGATACCACGTAAGTGTTACTAACTGCTAATTATGACAACTAGGGAAGCATGGTTGGGAAAAAAAAAAACAAAACAAAAACCTCTGCATATCTGTGAAAAGAATTTAATTCCGATATGAATGATTGTCTGGAGAAGCCACAGTAACATGCAGATGGGTCAATGTTGTGCTTGTTATTTTCACGAGGAAATCAAAGTCAGAAATGAGCTATGCTGGACTTATTCTGTCCATTCTCCTAAGTGAAGCTGAAGGATCAGCCTTCGTGTAATAATGTTTCCTTGTGCTGTGGAAGGATTGTAGCCACTTTGGTGACAGTCGCAGTGAACGAATTGCTGGGGATGTATGGGAGAGGCAACAGGATTGTGTATACGGCTTCATTATTAATAAAGCTGGATTGTCTACTGCCTGTTACTGGACTTCTCAGCAGTTTTGCTTTTTTTAGTCTCATGCTGTGTCTTAAAAACTAGTAAATTGTCAGAGTCTGATCCTACAAAATACTGAAGGATTTCTGCGGGTTCTTAATGTTCTTATCTGCTCCTGGAGCAGGGAACTCTCAGCACCCACAGAAATTCTCAGGTTTTAAGAGCAGCATGGATTATTAGGATTATGTAATGTA